TTGTGTCAAAGGACATTCTGTATCCACAGTAAATTATTCACTCACAGTCAAAATAAAAAAAAGGGTTTCACAAGGAGCTCAATATGAGCAGAATAGAACTTATAATGCAGTTCTTGACCAACTTGAGGGGGAATGAAAACAAAACTAATTCCTACGGGGCAAGAAATAGTTGTGGATTATGGGTACTATTTATGGATTAGCAAAAAGATTTGCACTGAGTTGGGCAGATTGGGAAAAACTATTAACATACTGGCAACAAAAACCACTTATAAAAAGGCAAAAAATAGTTAATGGTGATGAAGACCATAGAAGAATGTAAGTTAGAATTAAAATATCTTGTAAGAACTGTGATGTAAATCTACTTTTCTTGTATATCATAAACTACATCACTGATACAGTAACACCTTATTTACAAAGCAAAGCATGCCAACTGATGGGGAAGACATTTTACTTAACACCATTCATGCTCAGTATTATTATACATAACATAAATTTTATCTCCTCTAAAACCTGAACTCCCAAATTCTGAACCAATTTCTGYCCAGTGATATAACATAATTATACAKATGCACAATACACACAAACTGTTGTGGTACCCAGTTGATTAAAGGTAAAGCAGTTATTTTTATGACATTTCTGTTTTCCCTTCACACCAAACAAATAATTTAGAACAATTTAATTGAGAGAAAAGTGATAAAGTGGAGATGCTGTATATTGCATTAAGATGGAAGAAAAGGAAAAGGAAAATGTAGATATGCTTGTGCAGTGCTGGAAGCATTACAAGAAAAGGAGCAGGAGCATGTGGTGCATTTACAGGGGATAAAAATATAGTGTGCTACTAATGGAAAGATGAGCAATAAACAACATGAAATGTGAGGCAAAGCAAACAAAATGCAAGAGAAGACAAAAGAGTAAAGTAAAATTAGAAAGAAAAATTACCTGGAAAGCAACCATGCCATTGCTTCAGCTGACATCCTCCACCCGAGCCCTTTTTTTCATGTTGGACTCCATGCATTTTAAAAATACAGTTCTTTGCCAAAAAGCCATGATATCCAGCAGAGTCTGGGGCAACAGCAGGATGAATGTAGTGCAAGAAAGGTACAGAGTGTGGGGGTACACTCATTCAGACCTATGTATATCAGCCAATTGAATTCAAATTCCCTGGACTGTTTCTTTAAAACTGGATTCTAGATGAAAATGTGAAAAGGATGGTAATAAACTTCAGCAAATCCAGTTGAGCCTGGGACTGGTTGTCCAGAGAGGCTGTGGATCCACCACCCCTGGAGGTGTTCAGCAACCTGTAAAATCCCTGAGTACCCTGGTGTGAATTCGGTGCAACCTTGCTCTGGACTAAGATCTTCTGTGGGCCTTCCACTCACAGTGAGTCCATGATTCCTTCATTTTGTACATGCCACGATTCTGTTTGCATCACACACAAAATCCCACCAATATTCACTAGCACTTGTAATTTCACGATTGAAATGTGCCTTGATATTTCCTTCTATACACCAAAGTCTGTGCACCAAAAGGTGAATAGGAATGGATGGATTTAACAACAAAATCAGTCAGAAATGGTAAGAATAGCAAGCCATGAATAGATGGCATCATTTGGAGGGAAAAAAGCTAAACCAAACAAAATAATCAGACAAAGGAGAGAGATGGAAAAGCAGACTTGAGAAATTAATTCAATTACTTCTTGTTACATGTGATCTAAACATTTATTTGTAGTGGTATAATTTCACTGATTTTGATGATGCGTGTTGTCTGTTGAAACAAAAATAGTAAGATGTGTAACATTTACATTCAAAACAGCCTCACTTTTTATCAACTGCATTGTACCAGCTTTACACGTACCAAACTAAAAATTTTTCAATTATTTTTTTCAATTATTACATAATTTATCTACTCTCCCTTCTCATTCTTTCAACTCAACCACCTCTTAGGGTTTTTTTTTCTGTCCGGCAACAAAGTTCTTGTAAAAGACAAAACAGATAAAATAGCAGAATAATGACAACAGATCTCTGATGAGATCTAGATTTCCTCARTGGAGAATGCATGGCATTCTTTCATTTCTGACACTTGAATGCTTTCTTTAATAATGTAATTTCAGCCTAATTTAACAGTCAGCATGTTAGATGTGTTTTAAAGGCTCTCCTATCTTTTATTGGTTTTAGCAACCAATTACTTCCCAGCCCAACTAGCCCCAGTTGCCCAGCACTATACTGGGGATTTGGCAGAGCATGTTGGAATAAATCACTTGCTTTTTGCCCTTTGCAGTCTTTAAATAAAAATCCAAGCACAGATGTAGATGTGTGCAGTGAGGAGGGAAGAACCAAAATGAGAAGATGCATGTTTGCCTCTTCTTATGGTTACCTGGCTTGAACCTTTCTAAAGCCAGGATGTTTTCCTGGAAAGAAAAGAAGCTATCATTTAAGAAATTTTATAACTAGGGAATATTTTTACTGCAGATTAACRTTATGCTTTCCTCTGCTAGATGTGATCCCATTTAATTATGTTCTGTCCTTGCAGAGACCCTTGATGATGTGACTCTCTTGATGATAAGAAGGTTGTACACAGCCTGCTGAGGTTAAGTTCCCAGAAATCACAGAATACGTCAGTGGTGCCGGTGAAGTCAATAGAGGTGCTTTTATGTACTTTAAGTTCGAGCCCATGGTTAAACCCTGCTTTTTTCTTTCTTTTTTTTTTTTTCCTTTGACTCTGTTCCTCCGTATTGAGGTCACATTGACTGTTTCATTCTGTTTGTGCTTTCAGTCTATTTTTTTACTGAGGACATTGTAGGCTGAACAGGAAATCAACGTTTTCAAGTGGCATACAGAAGAGTAATTTCCTTCTTCAAGTTTTCTTCTCTATCAAGTACTTTGTGGAATACATCTTAGTTCATTCTGACACAGAATGACTGAGATTAAAAGGTACTTCTGTTWGCAGCAGCCATTGGCAGAGGCCTGAAAAAGTTGGTGCAAGCACCACCATCACACSTGCAAACACCTGAACTGTGGCAAACTCCCAGGGAGCCAATGTGGCATTCCACTCCAATCTGAATTGASTCATCTCTGAGCTGAGGTGGGACACTTCTCTTGGCTTCCTCTTTTCCTCTCTGAGCCAGGAATAGTTCCAGGAGCAGAAGACAGTTTCAGTCTGGATCAACTGCTGACTTTTTTAGCTTGTATTTTTATCTCTTCCATATGATGCTGATCCTGGAGTGRAGCCTAAGTTGAACATTCCTGCCTTTTTTTTCCTGGATATTCTGCTTCACATAAAAATTCAGGTCTGTGGGGTTATTGTGAAAACTCTGAAAAGCTCTGTCTCCTTTGCCTATGGCTGTAGTAAACAGAAGCATTCACTGCAGAAYCCAGGTACAACACGGTAACAATGCACCAATTATAAAATGCATCAGTCCCACACAGTGTACATAATCACACCCATACTTCAGAACTGTAATTAAGTCTTGGAAAATGCTCCRCTCATTTACATCACTAGACTGAACTGTGCTAAAATACTACTATATTGGAACAATRTTTTCCAAAATAGTTGAATAGGTTTAACATCAAAATATCTACAAAATTCTCTTTTTAAAAGTTTGTAATGCTGCAACAAATCACAAATGAGAGAAGTGTAGATAAAAGTATTAAAAGTTCTTGTTGTAAGTGTCAATAATGTGTATATAAGAGATAATTTGAATAATTTTCTCAAWTTTTTCATGTGTTTAATATTTATTTACTATAAAAATGACCATATCTAGATGCAACTATAACCTTAGTGGTTAAACTGAAACACTAGATATTTGATTATTTATGAAACAGTAGAATCATCGGATCATATCAACAGACATATCAGAAGTACAGAAACATTTGTTTTCTCTTTCTTTGAATAGTTTAGCTATCATATTTGATGGACCAATAGATAGTTACCTGATAAAGTGGATTAAAATCATAAAGCTGTGAGTAACACGAGTTTATGGCCTTTCATCCACATCTCCATTCACCGACTTGGACAAATCGGGCTTGTAGTTACTTGTTTCCTCTTTCGCACATTTGCCCAAGGCAACAAACCAAAGAAATTACAGGTAACAGTTTATCAAATGCTTGTAGGCAGTTAGCTCCTTCACTTGCTGTCACTCAGCATCATTTTATTAACAGAACCTTGACCCAGGTGTGCTGTGAGCTTGAAAGTTCAGAAGGTGGGATGCAGCTGTCACATGAAAGATGGATGATGTGCATTTTATGTTTTCAATGCATGTTAGTGTATCTCAAAGCAAACATGCTAATAAAAGGTGACATCTTACYAGCGATCCTGTGGGAGCCTTGGGAAAAGGACTCGGAACAGTTCCAGCATGTGATAGGAATGGACAGGAGGACAGACTTCATGGTTAATGTACAGGGGCTGTAAGTTTGCATTTGAATTTCCAGCAGTGGAAATGTGCATGGCACAGGTTTATCAAAATCAGCAGGACTGTGCATAGTGTGCAGTTAAGAATAATGATGGGTAAAATTCATTTTTATTAAATATAAATAATTTATAAACACATTTTAGATTATTATGTTGCTCTGTTATTGTTGTAATAAATCAAATTTGTTTAATAGCTACAGATATTATATATTTAAAAAGGTACTTTCACATACATGATGAAGGAAGTTTTTCATAACATGTGAAACTCTCCCTAATGTTCTACTGCCTTCTTTTTTTAGTGAGATAGAAATTGAGAAAATAATCTATATATTTTAATTTTAATTTTTTTATAAATAAAATTGATGAATTATGAAAATGCCAGTTATTGAAGGATTTTTAAAATATCTTAATTTCATCTTTACATTTTTCACTGTATTCAAGGAAAAATTACAGTGTAAACATAATAATAAACAGTGTAAAAACCAATGAAATAAAGGATTGGTTTCCATTGTAAACAATGAAAAGAGCTGCTTAATGTCATTTCATGCAAGTTTTCTGTTTCTTAAACTTCATACCTTTTCTCACAAAACTCTTTAACCAGTCATTACTTTATCCATATGCTAAATGTTCATTTTGCAGCTATTAGTATTCTGTCCAGGCTATATATCTCTTAAGTACTAATTTTGGATGTGGCCCAGTTTTCCTGTCTTCCTCTCCAGAATGTCACCATTCTGAACCTAGTTCACTAGGCCTTGGATGGACTAAATAAGCACAGCTCATTAGACCAACACCGATTTCCTGTTGGTCCCATTTTCATGCTCATTTTTTCAACACAACATTTCTAAGCCCTTCTGAGCTTTGCTTTAGCCTGCAATGCATACAGCTCTCTACACTGTTCTCAGAAAATAATCTCCCAGTTTGCAGCATGATTGATTCAAATCCAAATGCTGAAGTGATACTTTTTWGGTAAATTTTCCCATCATGTATGATAATGCTGGTTGTTTCTCTGCCTTCAGGCCTCCAGAATCAACATGTGTAAGAAGACTTTGTGCTCTTATCAGTCACAGGCATGACTTCTTACTTCTTCAGTGGGATCAATTGTATCACCAGCACCTGAAGAAAAAAATGTCAAATGCAGTAAGAATTTTCTTACTGGAATTGTAGCATTTGGGCACTTCTTTTTAAAAATTATTTTATAGACCAGTTTTATTTCTTTTATCTTGTCTTTCAGTTTGGTGCTGGTGTATACATCAGGCTTATTTTTTTTCTTTTATATATGTATATAGTTGCTTTAGATATTTTCCAAATTTCTGGCTATTGTAGCTGCTTTTACAAATGAAACTGCAGAATGTGTGCAGATGGCCTCTACAGGAAGAGAGCTAAGTTTTCTCTTTCTTCCCTTCTGGTCCAATAAACATTGATTTATGAAATGTGGAACAGATCCCACAGGACACTAGAATATTCAGTAGCTTGGTAAATATGCAATGATCTAGGATATGCATTCAAATATTTGCTCCACAGCATGGATGTAAAAAGCAGGAAAAAAAAATTACCTGTTGGCTTCTCTCTTATTTCTGTTATCAAGATGAGAAAATCGTGCTTGGGCTACCAAAGTACATCACCTGGGCAAAGTGAAGAAATCTGGTACAGATAACAACATCCCCTTAGGAAGTGGTCTAACATGAATGTTTAAATATGCTTTGTAAAGAGGACTCAGTCTGATTTATTAAAAAGGTAAACTGGGTGCTTCCCTGCATCACTGAATGGGAAAAGACTAATGATTTTACTCTGAGGAACTAAGATTAATGGTTATAGCAGAGATGCCACTGTTTGTGTTTAGCAGAAASTGTGAGAAAAAAGTGAAATATTGCTAAGTTGTGTCTCACCTTTTTTTGATACAGGTTAAGCACAGGAGTTTATCACCAGAGAGAAGCCAGTCCTTGACCAGAGGCTGCACACAAGACATTCTCTACATGATTTAGCTGGAATTCCATTTTCCATATGAACAGATGTGGACCCTTTCTGTGTTTGACTTCAATCAGACATCTCTGTACCAGTGAACTGCTCTGTCTCAGTGAAGCTGTGTCAGATYATGAGCACAGGGAGGCACCCAAGGCTGGGAGGTGTCCTTTGTCACACCAGCCCCTCATCACTCCTGCTCCAAGCCAAGCACCTGCTCTGCTAAATCCATTCACCTGAATGGGGAAGGGTCTTTCCCTCAATGGGAACGCAAGCGAAGCTAAGAGCATCTGTACAGCTGCAGGGAAGCTTTTATATTTATGAATTTAGTCCATGGAAGTTGGTGTGAAGGAGAAAATGACTCTTGGTATAGAGAAGGGTGAGAGGCACAAGGGATGAGGTGCCTTCCCTGACCTTTGGACCCAGGTGAACCTTGGCCTCTGCTGCAGCCTGTGGTGATTTTCACAATGGGTGGGAGTARGGAGTGGTGTGGGGATCCCATCGAGTCACAGAATCACAGCATCAATTAAGYTGGAAACCTTTGAGATCATCAAGTCCCATCTTTGACGGAACACCACCTTGTCAACTAGACCATGGAACTGAGCCAYATGTCCARTYTTWCCTTAAACATCTCCAGGGGTGCTAACTCCCCCACCTTTCTAGGAAACCATTCCAAGGTCTCATCATCCTTTCTGCAAAATTTTTCCTGATGTCCAAYCTGARCCTCTCTGGCCCAGCKKAACMTAGGTCCTCTTGTCCTGTCCCTGGCTGCCTGGGATAAGAGTGCGACCCCCACCTGGCCGCTACCTCCCTTCAAGGATTTGCAGAAGAGATGAGGCCACCTCCGAGCTTCTTTTTCTCCAGGCTGAACACCTCCAGCTCCCTCAGCGGCTCCTCACAGGACTTGTGCTCCAGACCCTACAGCAGCTCTCTCGCCCTTCTCTGGGCACGCCAGCGGAGCCCCGCTCCGGGAAACCTCAGCACCGTATCTCCAGCTCCCGCACCTGTTTTTAGAACGGGCGGGGCAGTTTCCTGCGTCCCGAAGACTCGAGGGCCGCACGGATGGCCCCGGCCCCGCGGGAGGCGCTGGCGAACGGGCGGGCCCGGCCCTGCGGAGCAGCTCCCGCCGCTCTCCGTGTCCCGCCGCCGTCGCTCGGCAACAGCCCCGCCGCACAGTCCCGCGCACAGCCCGGAGCCGCCGCAACCCGGAAGCAGAGGGGCGGAGGGGGCGGGCGGGGGGCGGCGGCGGGGCGGGACGGGACAGGGCTGCCCGCCCGCTCCTTCCCTTCCTCCCGCCGGGGGCTCCGAGCGCCAGCGCCGCGCAGAGCGCGCAGTGTCGCACCCAAGCACCCGCCGCGCCGTGTCCCCGCACAACACAGTCCCCAGATCCTGCCGAGCCGGCGCCGCCCCGCTCAGGCTCCTCCTGGCCGGTGCAGGAGGAGGAGGAGGTGGCTGCTGAGCGGCGGCTGCCGGAGCCAACGGGCGGCGGGGAGCGGGGCGGGCGCTGCGGGGGTGTCGGGGTAGAGCGAGGCGTGACCCGGCTGACGGGCACCGTGCGGCGGGCGCGGAGCCGGAGCCGGCGGGAGCAGCGGTACCAGCGGCGGCAGCAGCGGCGCGGGGCGTCGGTATCGCTCGGCTCTGGCGCGGCGTCTCCTCCACCCCCTCGTGAGCCTGGGGAACCTGCAGCTCAAAGCCGCCGCCAGCCACACCACCATGTACTCCGGCAACAAGCGGAAAAAGCTGTGGCGGGAGGAGAAAGGTATTATCGCCGTTGCCGGTGCCGGGCCCGCTTCTCCCGCCTTTGAGCCCACGCTGAGCCGGGAGGGAGCGAGGGAACGGGGGGTGGTCCCGGTGCCCTCAGAGCCGCCTCAYCGCGGGGCGTCCGACAGCGCTTCCCGCCGGCCGCGGCTGAGGGCACGGGATGGGGAAAGGGGGTCTGCGTGCTCTCTGCCCTTCTCCTGGGGTCTCCTGGCTGAAACAGCCCTTATGGCAGCCCGGGTGTGCGGGAATTGGGGATATGTCCCCCACACCTCGGGGTAYCCGTGAGGAGTGGAGCCCCGGGGCGGAGAGAAGCGAGCGAGGGAGGGCGGTAAACAGCCCCTCTCCTGAGGGCTKCCCGCCCCCAAGTCACCTTGTGGGAGGGTTTCAGGCCGAAAAGTTGGGCACATGTCCCCAAAACGTGCCTTTCTTGCTTTTAATGCGTTTGCTTTCCGAGGGGAAACATGTTTTATTTGGATTATTGGTGTAATCAGTTTAGATTCTAGTGTCGGTCAGCCGGGGCAGAGTGTTCGGGGTATGGGACTCTCAGAACACCCCTACTTCCCATCTTTTGAACTATCTATTTCTTTTTATATGTATTTTAAGGACCCCCACCCGTGTATTCTCAGTTCATAAAACCCCAAAGCCAAACTGCACAGCACGAAAACTGTGGGCCAAGTGATGCAGACCCTGCTGCTGTTTTGGTACTTTATATCGATCCTGTGGAGAGCAATGTAAAAATGAAGAAAAAAATTCACAGTGGAAGTGCAGCATTTATATCTGTCAGGAGGAAAGCTTCTTGCCTGGTGTGTTCCAAATAATGTTGTAAGAGATGAGGAAAGGAAGAAAAACAAACCACAGGGTTGTATTTTAAGTTCTCTTTCTTTTCTTCCATCACCCTTGTGTCKCTATGTGTGTTTCAAGCTAAGAAGGTGGAAGACCAGATCAATGAATAGGATTCCTTTCTAAGGARAAATTGTTAAAACACAAATGAACTTACTTTTCTGTGGGTTAGTTGTTCCTGTCAACCTCTTCTTAAGTGAAGTGAGCTTTTGTCTTTCAAACTATCTTGCAGTCTATGTTTCTCTRCTAAAAGTGAAGCAACAAATTTTTACCTGACAAAAGTTTCTCTTTTCAACGACGAAGGTACAGTTAAATTGTCTCAAGCATTGTTTATGTGTGATCAATTATAATTGACTTTCCCCTTAATGCTGTATGTTGTTATCTTCAAAAAAATGCAAGGGGCAGGTGGGGAAATGTTTCTGGTGGGCTCTGGTGAAAGTTCTTATTACTCTCACCTGTCACTTTCAGCTCTGTTACTGTCTGTGTGAATTCATAGCCTGGCAAATGAACTCAAACCTTTGGTAATGGAGGGTGGAGTGGAGGGTCTGAGGATAAACTGGAAACTGGGTTTGCTGACACTTTTGGTGTCTCAGTCAGCTGTGAGAATGGTGGTCTCCATCAGCAGGGTCATATTACTGAATGCAAACCAGTGCTGCTCACTGCTGCTGAGGTTTCTCTATCCAGGAAGCATTTTTAAGTGCTAGCTGGCCACAGCTCCCTGTCTTTTTGCCCAGTGAGAAGGAAGAGCATTTGCCAGTCTTCTGCTCCAGTAACTGTGTTCCRGCACCTTGGTGTTGGCCCTGGGTATTTTGAGTGGGAGGGTAGAAAAAGCTTCTCTTCATTGCTGGCATTGCCCTTCAGATTTTAGCCATGTGGGGCTGTTCTTATCAAGTACCTTCTTTACTAGAGAGAAAAACCACAGAAGCCCAACTTTTTTCCTTCTTACGCAGTCAGTACTTTGGAAATCAAATCTTTTGTCACGACTGCCTTCACCTTTCACAAGTGCTCCTGAACCCCTGCAAAGCTCACTAGCTCTGTTCTTCCCATGAAGCTCTGAGTGCAGTTGCTCTCAGTCTTTTATATTCTGAAGCACTTCTTAAAAAGCAAAAGCACTGATTGCTAAATATTGAGTTCAAACCCACTGACAATATGCTTGCTTTTCTTAATTACTTTCTTGGTAATTAAAGGTTGGTCCACATCCTCCCAGGGGAGATCTTCCTCGAGGACAGCTGAAACAGAGCAGGAGCAGGAGTGGAGGTGATTTCAGAGCCTTAGACACAGGACTGGGCTGCCTGCAAACTTTCCAAGTTTCTGGCACAGGCAGAAAACTGCACTTGAGGTGAAGGCTGTTGGGAAAAACTTCCAGGAGGTTTGTGTATAGTTCAGACTCAGTTTAAGTTCTTGATGCTGACTCCACAAGAGCTAACTTTTGTAAAAGCTTCTTGTAGAGAACTTGTATTTTGAAGACACAGGCCTGGCTCTGTCGCCTCTTTAGCAAAAGGCACCCAGACTTGCTCTGCTGTCAGTCTGTCACAACTGATGCAGGCTCTCAGGTCTGCCTGCCTGCAGGACTTCCAGTGTGCACCTCAGGTACTTGGAGTTTTGTATGTCTGGAGCTCAGGTAATGGAGGCAGGTATGTATCAGTTGTGCATAGTGGTGACCCTCATCGCATTAGGTCTATTTTGGCAGCTGCAAACGTCCCAGTGAAATACCAGGCCTGAATAATGGGAGAGAAATGTTTTTGTCAACTGAAGAAATTGGTAATACTGTCAACAAAATACCAAAATAAACTTATATTTTAAAAGGAGACTGTTTCCATGCAGTTTCTGTGTTCAACTCTTTGGCTGCTTGTTCAACTTGACACAAAAACAACCTTCTTTTAATGTCTACCTTGTCCTTTAGGTAAAATGCAAATCATATGGGTTTAGCCTTCCTCTACACCCTAAAAATTCTTGTATCAGTGAACAGCATTTATTACTGATTGACATGTCAAGAAAAATTGTTAGTGTGATTAAAGCAGCACAGTGCTACTGGTATAAACAGACCTAGACCTTTGAGTAGACTGTGGGTGTTGTGATCTTCTTTGAGTGACTGTGGGAGCTTTTTCCCATCTTTTGGGAGGGGAAAAGCTTTTCATCTTGTGCTGAGCTAATAGTAAGCATTCATGAGATGGGGAGGRAGAAGAGGATGTGACTGCAAAAGTGAGCTGAAGTACTGAGGTTGTTTGCAGTTTTGGGTCATTGGGACGACTTTTTTTTTACTGTGAAATTTAGTAGATTTATAGCAGGGTCTGAAGAAGAGTRAAGTTGGCAGTAGCTGTCATACTTGCGTGATGTTTGAGGCTTTACTTTTCACTAAATGTCTGMAAAAAGAGGTGGTGACATTCTCAGGAGAAAACAAAAATAACCATCTGTATGTATTTAAGTGGGCTAACCAGGTATGTCCTGTCCATGTTCTAATGAAAATTTCTAAAGCTAAACATGTCTTTCTTACCTCTGCAAGACAGAATGTTTGCTTTAGTTCTAGTCTCTTTTGTGAGGTAGTAGCATTCTGTTAATTTCTTGCTATGCTCCCTGCCTTTGCTTAAACTTTTTTTTTTTAGTTCTGGTTTACAAATACAGAACCTACAGAGYGGACTTTAATACCTGAAAACTCACTATAAAACAACAATTCCCTACTAAAGTTGCTGTTCTCTGACATGGGAATTAAAGTGGCMGGAAGAAGCAGTACAGTAGTAATGTGAGGGAAAAACCTGGACAGCCCAGAGTGTGGGGAAGAGGYGTTAACTTTGCAGAACTGGGATATCCAGAAATAGTCACGTGCAGTTGTACAGATGTTTAGCTCTTGCTGCAACTCACCGCATCACTCATGCTTGGTCCTCTCAAGTGTTATTTCATTCATCAAGGGCACTGCATTGGYCACTGCATTGCTCATGTGCAACAATGTATGAAAACCTGCAAAAATTTTCTTATTTCTCTTTCCCCTAAACAGAGCGTTTGCTGAAGATGACCTTGGAAGAAAGACGCAAAGAGTACTTGGGGGATTATGTTGCATTGAAAACTATTCCAACGTGGATGGAAGACTTAAAAAGTAAGAGTGAAAGTGATGGTAAGTAAAATGGGGGAGTTATAAAATATAGACCRCTCTGTTTTCTCATCTGGTTACTTTTAGGAAGGCCAAGACTTAGAACCCCTATTGTGACGAACAGTGACAGCCTAAAATGGGGGTTTATTGGGAACACCCCAGCAAAATTTCTTAAAGCCTCACTGGTGGCCCCAGACTCTGCTGGTGTCCTCAGATGGAGTCAATAACCCTTAAGTGTGTAAAATAGCTCTTCTCTGCATGAGTCTTACTTTCCAGATACTACTGCAGTCAGCCATGCCTACAGAAATTTGTCTTTGAAACTTACTGAGCATAATGATATGGGGAATCTGGGCAAAAGCGTGTTGCAGGTGACCCAAAAGCAGAGGGGAAGTGTGCAAGTTCTGTTGTTTTCTAAAAATTCAAAAACTGGAGAAGATAAGGTTTGAGGCTTCCCTTACTTTTGGTCCAGCCTGCTTTCTTGAGCTGAGGAACATCAGTCAGGCCTGGATTAACTTCCATTTCCTTAGTGTGTGCAGCTTTATTATGGTTGTGATCACCAGTAGAGTTCTCTARATACTTGCAGTGAGAACTGACCAAAAAGGTGAATCCTACTCACTTAGAGACTCTTCTATTCTGCAAGTAATTGTGTAACAGTGCCTTGTTGTTTGTGTAGTTCCCTTTCATTCATACAAGGCTATTGAAGAATAGCCTTATTGAAGAATTGACTTCTGAGCTGGTTTCCTCCTCCCCTTTTTTTCCTGTATTTTTTTTGAAGGAGCATCTGACTATGAGACCTGAAGTGCTTCCTGCTTCTGCAGGCACAGGWCTGATTTTCTGACCCTTTTGTAATAATTAAAGGCAAATACTGGCCTGAGTGAAGAGGTGTGTAGAGTAATCTTGTGGCTGCAGGTGAACATGGTCTTTATGGTGATAGTCCAGGTGAGATGAGGTGTTGAGCTGATCAGCTATTTTTAATAAAATGGAAAGGCTTTAACACTTATTTTAGCACAATCTGGAGGAGCTCACAGATTTTCAGATGCCCTTGTCAAAAGCAGCTATTGCTATTATATACTTCTAAAAGCATCTGGGATAACTTTAAAAGTGAAAATATGTCAAGAGTTTGAGCTCTTCAGCCCTGCTGAGTAGTTGTATTACATCAGTACCCATTGAACTCTTTCTCCCATTTGAGTAGGTCATTTATATCTTGCAACATCAGAAAGCCTTTCCATCTAAAAAACAAAGCCTGCATAAAAATTAAAGAGATTACCTGGCTTCTTGCARGTTCATTTTGGAGGCCTGTGGTATGTGGGAATATACAGTATGTCATGTGGTTTAACTGGGAGACTCTTTATCCCTTCTAGCCCAAACTGTGTTTTTTATTCCAGCTACTCTCAGTTTCTCTATAAAGCAYTGAAATTCACAGATCTTGTATTACTTGGGCTGCTGAAAGTGACAAGGTGTGGATTTACGTTGTGATTTCTGTTACACTTCACAGAAGCAAAATATCACTGTCTAATATGTGGGTATTGAATCATGGCAGTGGTGAATTTATTTTCTTGTAGCTACTTCTGCATTCTTTCTGTTAGTACCCAGTACACTGCAAAAAAATGCTGGAAGGCAAAAGTTGTGCTGAACACACTTCTGTGCTGCTTGAAGGTTTTGTTATATTGTACATGCAGCAGAAAATATCTGTAGTCACTCTTTCTTTGATGTATTTGTTGTAAGTAAGCCATGTGTAATAGTGAACTTCTGGAAGGTTGGACTGCTGAAATGCTTCCTTGCTCCAACTGATTAGTGCAATTAAAAGAAATATGTGTATTAATGTGACTGTTACTGCATCTGTTTCAAACTTTATTTCTCTTAAATGTAGACCCCATTCCGAAGGTATCAAGTGTGTCTAAAAGCTTTTTGAGCTAAAATACAGAAAACCTAGAATTTAAATCTTCTTGCTAATGTCAAGTTTTGCTCTTTCCTGGTACATACAGAGGGCAGCAGGTACAATGTGAATGAGATTCTGGAGACAGCAAGTGAAGCCCCAGGTGTGATGAAATTGGTGATAACCTGACTATGCCATGTCCAAATTTTGATATTTTCTACAAGTGAAGGGTGGCTACTTGCRTTGACAAATGAAGAGGTCTGAAGGGTGGTTGTGGTGGTGAAAATAAAATCCTCTGTATATTTGTCAAGCCAAAACAACAACTGATGGGGAATTTGGAAAAAAAAAAATATTTACCATTTACTCCCAACACCATGTACAGTAAAAAAAAATGACAGATTGATTAGTAAAGCATAGAGTTCAGGAAGAGTGATGAGGAGAAATCAAGAAAGCAACCAAGAACAAATCAAGTGAAGCAGGTRCAATCAATCAGCTACTGGGGTAAGAAGCTGTAAGAGAACAACACAGATCTGAGTTGGCAGCAGTCCCCATAGATACTCAATACTCAGCTGGAGATTATGGGTGTTCAGTACTGCACACATTTTTGTATTGGCTATTAGGAAAAATTATGTGTATGATGTAAAACCTTTACAGTGCCCATTTTTAAATGTGAGTGACTCACTGGAGGGTGTTGGGAGGTTCCAGTTGGGCATACATTTTTGTTATGTGGAAGTTTAATAGAAGATTGTTGAAAAGCCTGTGTGCAGAATTAGTCAAACAGAAATTATCTAAGAGGTTTGTATTGGGAAGGAACCAACCTCACTGCCAGGGTATCTTGTGGGTGCTCTTTATTGGCAGGTTGAGACAAAGTGCCTTAGTTTGTGGAAAGAAGTTTTTCCCTACCCCTCYTCCACCCTTTCATAGGAGGTTGTGCTCAGAACCAAATTCTGAAGAAAACCAGTAAAGCTTGGAGTAAGTTTGGTATTTTGGCGAGGCTGGAAGCCTTTGTAATAGAGTAACAGAGGGTGTGCATCTATGTAAAGGCTTCTGAGGCACGAAGTTACTGAATTCTGAATGGCAGCTGACAAGGGCTTTCTCTCTTTGGAGCAGCAAAACTAATAAAAAACATTTGAAAGTTCAAAGAGGCAGTGTCTTTGTTAAAATGCTCTGCTGTGACTTATTAAAAAAAAAAACAAACCCTACATTTTTTGCAGGTCTCCTTACATGGACCTGACTAACCATAAGAAATTAGGCTGGTGTGTGTTTTAGCATGGAATTTTGTCAATGTTTGTGTTGTTGGTTCTGGGAGGAGAGTGGCACAATGTGGAATGCAAATACTGAGCCTGATGCCTATTTCTGTAAGCTAAGGGAAGCAATCTGATGTGGGTATGTGCATTTCCACAAGGACTATGTTGTCAACACCCCTGAATTTTGGTGTGCCACTTGCCAGGCTGTACAAGTGGATCTTGGAGATGGAGTGTTGTAGCAGTGGAAGGAAAAGGGATAGTTAGTGGCAAGAGACCCTCTTCAATGTCAAAAGGGGATGGTAAGAAGATAAAATTTTAGTTCTTCAGACAGTCCTATAAATGTAAGTTTTCTTTGGTTTAACTGTATTTATTAAGGAAATAAAGAGTTGCCCACTTTGGGAACAAAGAATGAGCTTGTAGAGGGTTGGATAGTGTGAATATACTGTAATGTGTAATTCTTCCCATTTATCCTTCAGATATACCAAAAGGCACACACATTGCATCACTTTTCTCATGTACTTTCAAGTAGAGTGTCGTCCTGTCAGCATGTGAATAATGGACTTGTTTTATGAAGCTCTGGAATTTATATCACTTTGTTTCAATGCTATTTATTACATTCCACTTTGTTAGGCACTCATCTTGTACAGCAACAGGAGCTAATGTTGCTCAGTGAATAAAATGCTACCATGTAGACTAACAGCTAGAGTGTTTTTTGAAGTTAAATACATATATTAGCKTTTGTTGGGTACACACTAATTCCTAAAGATGTTTTTATTTTGCAGTGGTGAATCTGAGAGATGACTTCAGAAAACTTGTTCTTGAAAGYTTTTTGAAAAACTAGGGTCTTGGGAATTTTGTTGTCGTTGAGTTTTGTGTGTCACTGGTAAAAAAACATTTTGTTGCATTAATTGGGTAATTCAGAAAATGGACTAAGTGAACTCGTTTAACTCCAGGCAGCTGATAGTCCTGCTGACTTTCACAGCCTYTGGAATTCATTGGTATGACAGTGGTGCCAAGAAAACAGTAAATTTGGATGGTGGTATAAAGATCTTTGCTAGTGGGAAGAACTACTTTTGATAGAATGAAGTTGAAGTGGAAGGACACAGTAACTGAGTTTATTTTTGTCAAAGGTTAAATGACACAAAAGGTCTGCAGTCCTTTTAAACAAGTCTTGAAATATATTTAGATGTTTTGGCAGCCTCTGAATCTTTTTAATCTGCTATTTTTWAAGAAAATGATATGGTTCAAGCTATTCAAATTAATCTATTTTAKCAGTGAGGGTTTTGTGTATAATAATGTTTGGATTTAATAGAAGCATCTTTGTACTATGAATGTGTAGCTTTCTAAATATTCACAGTGGGTCAACACAAGATTATAGAAACAAAACATGTAGAGGAGCCACTCCAAATGCTTCATGGTGGAAAGAAAATGTGTGGTAACACTGAGCTCTGACCAGCATTTCTTGAGATGGTTAACTAACTACAAGTAACTCTCCAAAGAACTCAGTATCTCTGTGCAGTCCTGCTTGAAAKGAATATCCTGTCCTGCAGAAGCTAGGAACCAAGGTGATGAGCATTAAACAGACTTTGGAAACTGACACCACTACTGAGCTGCAGTCAAATTCAGCCAGATGTCTACATGTAAGAAATGGCATCTCTCTAAACCAGTCAATATTATCAGTGATTTATACAGAAAAAGGAATTCTGTTCAACTAAAACATGAAGATTGTTAGGCAAGTTTGCAAGTCACAAGTCCTGTCTGTAACACCTGTGTAGAACTTCTGTGCTTCAAGACCATCCACCTACCTAAAATCCAAGTCCCATCAGATTTCATTGTGATTTTTTTGTCTTACAGTGACTGGAACAACTCTCTTTAAAACAGATTTTTAGCTGAGTGACAAG